TTAATTGTTTTTTCTGTTTACGCTGTTGTTTGCTGCTCAGCTATTCCAAAAAACTGAACTGAATGAAGTAACTGCTGAAGTTATAGACGATCCGCAGAATCCTACTAATGAATAATGCTTTGAGTGCAACGTTTATATGAGAAAACAGTGTTTCATTACTCCGAACTTTTGTTCATTACCAAAAATTTAAACGTTACAGAACACTGGCCACGCTTTGTAAATAAAGCAAATTTAGAGATTTTTTCTGACAGAAGAAATGTTAAGCTGTCCTAACAAAAAACATAAGTATATTGCCATGTATGTAAGGTTTTAATTCCTTCCCAGTCAATCCTCAAAGCATAGAGCAATCGTGCGTAGACAAATAGTATTTGACCATACTGAACTGTTCGTCAAACAGAAGCTAAATCTAAATCCAATTCAACATAATGATCAAACAATGCTCAAAAATTTGTGGTCATTGCTTATCCATTGCTATTGGTGAGAAATCATTACTTTTTTCTCATTGCAAAAATTGTTGTCTTTATTTGATTAGCGGTATCAGTAAGATAGTTACAGAGAATCTTCAGAATCCTATTAATAATTTTAAAGAAAAAAGGAAGGACAATAATTAACATTTGTTGACTTGCTGAAATTAAATATTACAGAATGCCAAGTACGCTTTTAAAGAGCACTGTGAGGCTGTATACTGTACGTCTGCTAAATACACTGTGCATACAACGAGACATTTTTTCAGTGTTAAATCAGCACGTCACACCTCAGAACAAATTTAATAATGTATTTCATTCTGTTAGTTTAAAAAAACATTCTTTCTTGGAATTAGCCTTGGTAAAAGACAACAACTGGTAAAGTGAGAGCGGGTAGGAAAATAGAAGAGAGTAGGCTTGAGTAGGTCAGCAAAATTTTAACTGAATGTACGAACAATAAATGTACAGTCGTTGACGCTGCTGCTTTTGAAATATTTTTAGTCAGCCTAATGAAAAAAATGTTATTGAAAGAAAAAGACGTCTATTAATCGTCTTGAAAAGAGGTGCCACATTTTGCTGTAAATGATTATTCTTTCTGAATAAACTACATAGTCTCAGCACGCGCACTGAAACCGAACACAAATAGTTACCAAGTGTTTTAATCCTCATCAACTTGGGTATCTAAGAAAAACAACAACCATTATTTTAAATATTCTAAGCTACTGAGGATGCCATATGCAAAACGTATCTTACTGTTGCCAAAACCATTACGATTGCTCCAACAACAGTCGGAAGAATCGCTTTCTTCTATGTCTGTAGTTCCCGCAGACAAAATTATTGTTGTATTGTTGTTGCATGTTATTCTGTTTGTAGTATCCGCAAGGTTTCCCTAGATCAGACGTCGTTATACGTCATCGTCCCCTTTTTGTTATTTTAGCTGTTATATTGACGATTGTCTAATAAACGTCAAGAGTTGAGCGGACGACACAACATTTATGGATGACTGAACCGTCATTTAAATCCTTGTAAAAAAGGCTTAAAAGCTCTCATAAACATGATGATTTTACGAATTCAGTATTCATACTTTACTAAAAGTACCTAATTAAATAGGCAAATAAATTTGTTTAACCACAGAAAGCTGATTAACCTGATATCATACAGCAGTTCGTACCTGGCAAAAAAAAAAAGCACTAGCAAATGTAAGCAATGTTGACGAAACAGCACCTGATAAATATGGCGACTGCCCTCAGAACCGATATTTACAACAAAATCGAATACATTATAATACTTTATAGACTGAAAGCGTCCAAAAAATTTGTAGTCCTCTAAGAAAATACTTTTCTTGAGAAAAAAAACCTTCCCAAATTATGGCCACGTCAAATAAAACTAAAGAAGCCCACAAATCGTCACTGTTTTGAACAACTCAGTTAGTGAGTCTTGAACGTCAAAATTTAACTGACTTTTTCTTTTTTTCCAAAATCCATACCCCTTCTACAAAACTGAATTTTGGAAAGGAACATTTTCAGTATATGAAGTGCACCACAAAGCTACATGGTGCTTTTTGGAATTGACATACACCTCCCTCAAACAAATGTAAATCACAAAAATTATACATTACAGCCTTGTGAAAAGTGGGTATCCTGCGTTGTTTCATCTGTTATTAAAAATGTTACGTAAACATCCCCACACCTATGCCAAGAATTTAGATGCCTACAACCCGTCCCCCCAGTTGCCAGCTAACGCTAAATTTTGATTTAAAGTGCTGACAAGAATCTGTGAATTGTGATTAGTTGCCGTTTTCAAAATAGATGACCGTATGTTGGGCATACTTTTGAGGGACCTCTGATTAGTGTTTAACTGTCATTACCTCTGAGCAATTTGAAAAGTTGTCTTTACTATTTTAGTTAAAGTCATATCATCTAATGACACAAAAATTATGCCAAAACTAAGCCTACAGCACCTAAGAAAACAAAAATCCCAAAGCGCTGATGCCTTCCTTTGTAAACAAACGCTTATTAAACAATAATTTTTAGAACGTTTTGCAAAAAATAGCTTTGATTTGCCAATACAAGGCAATCTGAACTTATACAAGTACAGCGAAAAAAGATAATTTTATTTTATGACTTCTACTTCTACTTGACAGATGAGGCAAACCCTGAACGCTGTAGTTTGGGAGCTGGTTTATTTTGGTGGCCCCATATTAATTCTTCACTGCGTTGGGAGAGGCCTACGAAAAAGTGTACTACCTACAGTCAATCAGCGTGACGAGGCCACCAGACTGAACCAAAATCGTAGCTTCATTACCGCTCGTCTTCCCTTTGGAATTGCGTCACTGAAGACGTGAACCAAGCCATCTACAGCATCCTAGTCAAATGACCCGGTCACTGCGCAGGTCTCTCCTGCTGGAACAAGATCTTAAATCAGTAAAAATGTTTTCCTTATCACTGGGTCAAAAAATCATGACTCTTAAGTCAGAAATTCCATGTCCAGCTGATAAGCTATCCTATAACTTGTACTCCGAATATGCACGTTGGCAAATGACATACCTTCTCCTGAGACAAGGTTTTCCCATAAAAATAGGTCTCTCCTTTTTATCACCCCATTTTCTTGTCCAGAACATTTCTTCCTTCTCCAAATGCAGTTCTTGCTGAGAAACAGAAAACAAGAAAAAAAGAAAAATAAAATGAAAATGGCGTAAGGATAAATAGTAGACCCTAATTTTAATGAAAAATTGAAAGTATTCAATTTCTCCTTGCCTCTTCCCCTCCCCTTTCCTCCACTTCCCAGCTCTGTGGCTCCCTTATGCACTACGGATACCTAATCCTTCTCCAAAACATTCCCACAGCTAAAAGAAATTTTCCCTCACAAGGAAGGCCCATCCCTGATGCGTACCACTTTCTCAATTCTGTTAAGCTTGTCTTTAAAAACCAGCATAAGCTGTGTCACTACGACTTGTTAGTTTCGGAACACTGTTTATTACCACGTAGTTCTGAACCAGAAGATAGTTCTGGGAAACAACAACATAAACGTATTGGAAGCAGTGGATCAGCGTAACATTAAGACCTACCAAATTACAGCTTAAAATTGAATATCTATTCTGATAAACAACAAGAATGAGGCACAAACCTAAAATATAAAACAAAAACTGTATCTCAAAACATATGAAAAACAAGTGAAATCTGTCAAGAAATATAAGTACACTGTGCAGATATTATCAGCACAAGTTAGCAATATTAGTACAATTGGTGCAACGTTTAGAAACAAGAGGATATAAAAAAAGAGAACAAAAAATACATTTGCCTCAAACATTTAGTAGTTAATTACACATTACCCGCACTGAAACGCATTCCTCTTTTCTATTATATACAAGATTCCCAACCAAGTCCTATAAAAAATTACATCAAACCTAATGACCTAATTTATAAATGTTAAAATGCACTCCCTCAACTGGACATTTCCATACGACTGCACTTCAGCCACTTTTTTTACACATTTAACTACAGAAGCCTGAGAAGTACAAATCTGCATCCAGACAACCTTTCTAGTTGTGTTGGTTGTTCTTGATCAATTCCAGGTCAGCTCAAATACGTCAACGTAGCCTTCTGCCTTTTAGTTAAGTACACTAAGTTGTATAATCAAATGTTATTGTTGTATAATACTGTATAATCAATTAAGAGAAATGGTAAAAAGCTTATCAAAACAACTAATATTTTTGGAAATTTTTTGAAAGAGTTCCAGCCAAAGTACTAAAATAGGATTTTGAAAAAGCAGCAATTCCCTCTATCCAGATCCCGCCAAAAATCCTGTTTAGGTGAATGCTACTGAGCGTCACGAAGTTAAAAGGTAAAGGCCAAACAGGTTATCACGTGGGCCCAAAATAGCTGCATTCAGAGAAGGAAAATACACCTAGCTGATCAAACTGTCGTCTGAGTAGCAATGCTACAAAGATATGCAAGTGACAGAAATACATTTTAACTCTAATTTGTTGAAGAATAAAAAAGAGGTTTCTCAAAGACCGTAAAAAGTTGAAAAACTAGGTCGAAAAACCCTTATGCAAGGTAAAAGAACAATCATTAAAAAAAGTAAGTTTTACGGCAGGCATTGCAAGATATATCTGCTACTTAAGTGTAACAATGTAAGCCTGAGAAGTGTGTGAACCAAAAAAATGATACCAGAAGCTTGGGAATTCTGGAAGGGAATTATCAAAATAAAGAGGTGACCTTTGTACCTGAGTGTGCTTATGTAACACAAAAAATTATCCACTTCTTCACAAGATACATTCGGGATACGTAAGAAAGGAAAAACATATAACTTGGAATTCAAAAAAATAAAATGAAGATATACCACAAAAAATAAAAAAGGAACTTTCCACCTATCACTGCAGAAAATGAAACAGAGCAAAAAGAAGATGCTGGTTCGATTGAGCCTCACTTTTAAAATATGAAGCTTGCAGACCGCTGTTTCTGTCATTAAAAAATACTCAGATCTCCTTGCTTAGATATGAAAAAACTACCCTCCAATTGAACTGAAGGGGAATCAACTAAAATCTAATTTGAAGGTCTTAATGTCCATAGGCATGACATCAAATTCATCATTGCTGTTGTTGTTTAACTTCTCGTATAACAGAGTTAAACTTGTCTCGACTACACGCTTTGGAGGCAGTACAAGCAGCGACAGAGGTTTCAGCTGAAAATTTAAATTGAGATTAGCTTTAAAAAACTTTCAAAAATTATTGAACAAATCGTGTTCCACTATAAAAAAAGCCTATAACAAAGTGAACAATCTCGGTACTACTGCACAGCTCGGCAAATGGAGACCTTTTCAAAAATATAAAGAGAAACAGAAAAAATGGAACTTTATTGAACATACTTTCCCACTGTTTGCTGGACAACTGTTTCGGAAATCAGTTTTGGACCGACAATCAATACCAAGTCGATGAACTATTAAGGCTTGAGAACTGCTAGCTAAATAACTCCTTGACGATTCACTACCGTACACAGTGGGAGCAGCCATTGTGCGTAGATTAACAATGTGTAAGTCACACGGAAGAGGTGAACTCAAGCCAGAATATGTTTTCAACCTTGCTAAACAAAAAGCATTTGAATTTTCAAAGGGATTTCAGTGACCCTTTCATAAAAACTATGTTCGATTAAGGAGCTAATGAAAATGTGGAATTAGGGGATAGCTGGAAGAGGGATGTTACACTGACTTACATTCATCCTGGTTAGCAAAAAATGAAATCACAGGATAATGCAGCTGAAGAGAATATTGGTGCGCTGGTAAAGAATTGAAACAAATGGGTGATTTATCCCCTTCTTCGGGTTCTGCTAAAGATTCCAAAAGCAACCGAAATATACTTCGTGTTCTTTTATTATCGACAACCGGCTAAATTCAAAAACAATAATTAAATAAGCAGACAAGATTCATATACAATAATAACCTACAGAAAATAATCCCCGGCCGTCGTCTTGCAGTAATCTTCTATCTAACATCACCTCCAGCCAGCCTGAAGAAAAACGACGATCTTTAATTAGTTTAAATGCTAATTTAATATAAAACAGATAACAAAAACCTTATTTGCTAAGACGAATACTACAGCTCAAGTCACTAACAAAAAGCATCATCTAATACAGAAAATTTAAATTATAGCTTCATGCGAATCAGGGACTTATGAGGATACAGTGGTACAGAATATATTTAGTAAACTGGAAGTTCCTTAACCCGATTCCAAACTAGCGACTCCATTAGCTTGAGCGCCTAACAAAGACAAACGCCTTGCATTATCTTCGATAAACGCTGTCCCAGGCATAGGATAAAAGTGAGCCTGCAGCGGCAGCTTAGAAAATCGGCGACGCCTCACCATCTAGAACGATAGAAAAACAAGTATCTCGAGAAAAACAGTAAAAAAAGTGACCACTAGAAATTCAGACCTGAAAGCCATTTAAGTCAGTCGCTAAATACTCTCCATTTTGAATGTCCGATTTTAAGCGCATTGCAAATTCAAAATTCTTGTTTTCGACGATTTCGACATAATTTTCTAGTTGAATATAAGGTGTGTTGAAATAAACTGTGGCTGAATGTTCAAGTGAAACTAGCTTTCTGTTTAATACTTTAACCTGAACTTGAAGCTAATTAGTGGAAAGATTATTGAGGAACCAAAGCCATACTTTAACAGAACTCCTTGTTATTAGGTCAGTTAATATTACAAAAAGTTCTGCTTATCCATTACTAAAAATTAATTGAGCCATTGTACGGAGAAAGCGATTAAAATAAAAAATTTAGAATAAAAACTCCGAAAAAAATGCCTGACACCTGTTTCATTACAGGACCATCAATGAAAAAAACGACGCTATCTAAATCAACTTCTTTTGCCGGACCATCAGGCAAAAATAAGTAAGCGCCAGAAAGATCATCACCACCAGTGAACTTTCCTGTCACATAAAAAACATTAATAGCAAATCATAGTTGCATACTAATACTTGAATAAGTGAGACAAGGTAAAATGGCAAGTCTACAGGTATCCATACATCATAATTAAAACAGTGCCAAAGTATTACAAAAACTTTTCTTAAATTATGACAGAATTTTTGTCTTACAGTTATTTTCAAA